TGGAACGAACTTGACGCTGCCAGATCGGAAAATTGGTAGACACCAATTTGATCGGGAAGTGGGTTTTAGCGTGAAGCTGAATAACAGGTGTGTCCTTGGTAATTGAGGAGGACATGATGATAGTGCTGCAGAGTAGCAGGCTGGAGCCGATTAGAGAGAAGAGAGGATCGAATATTAGGAAAAAAAACCCTAATGATGCTCTGATACCATATGGAAGTATTGATCAAACATACTGAAATCATTGATGAAGCAAACATATATACACACCTAGCACATTGCCGATCCTATTCTCAAGGAGTCTGGCGCACATGATTAGGAAGAGATAACTACAAAGGCTATACTACACATAATATTATACAGAGGATAAATATAAACAAATATAACTGATATCTATTTGGTATCCTTAATACTAGATGTTTTGTTTGAGGGGCATGGACATCCTGGAGGGTGTGTAAAGTGACTAATCGCACAGAGACTATAAATTTTTAAGATCCTGTATTTTAAAATTTAGTATTCCCTCCGTCCCATAAAACCTTTCTTCTTTCTTTTTTTATCCGTCCCAAAAAACACTTCTCATTTCTATTAAAAAGTCACTTTTACCTCTTACTTTTTCATACCATACCTATCACATCATACCTTTTTACTAATAATCTATCCATCAAATCATACTTTTACCCATCACATCAAAGGACATTTTTGGAAATTTAATACCAAAATACACTCCCCTTAAATCCCTCCTAAAAAGCAAAAATCCCATGTTTTACGGGACGGAGGGAGTATATTTTTTAAAATATAAGTACTTTGAAAATTTAAAATAGGGCTTAAAACGTGAATTTTGCCTAGGGCCAAGTTCGCATTTTCATTTTCTAGGCAGATCTTGTTGAGTGGGGTCATCTTTACTCAGAAAAATTTCAATGGGAAGGGTATAAGAGGTGGTAAAAAAACTCTAACTTCCACTTTTACTCTTTTTTTTTTTGAGTAAATTCCCAAAATAGTCCTTTGTAATAAGGGGTTTTCTCAAATTAGTCCTCAATAAGTTTTAATTACCTACGTGGTCCTCTATAATTGAGGTTTATTCCCAAAATAGTCCTTTATAATAAGGTGTTTTTCCAAATCAGTCCTCAATAAGTTTTAATTACCTACGTGGTCCTCTATAATTGAGATTTATTCCCAAGATGGTCTTTCGTAAAAAATGTTACTCAAATGAAGATTAATAGAGGGTATTTTTTATCCTCTAAATTTAGAATTAATTCTTAAAATAATCATTTATAGTGAAGTGCTTTTCCAAAATGATTTTTCTAATTAGAGATGTGTATTTGATTTGAAATTTAAAAGATTTTTTTAAGTTTTAAATAATTCTTAAATTCTTTATAATCAATGTATTTTTTAAATTTAACATTTAGTTGTACAGAAATGATTGTTTCGAGAATATAATTTAAATTTGGATGATCAAAATACCAAAATATCTCCCAATAAATCATCATTTGAGTAACATTATTTATAAAGGACCATATTGAGAATAAATATCAATTATAGAGAACCACATAAGTGATTAAAAGTTATTGAGGACTGATTTGGGAAAACACCTTATTTATTATAAAGGACCATTTTGAGAATTTACTCATCAATAATTTATGAATTATTTAAAACTTAAAAAAAATTAAATTTCAAATCAAATACATATCTTTAATTAGAAAAACCATTTTGGGAAAAATACTTCATTATAAATGATTATTTTAAGAATTAATTCTAAATTTAGCGAATAAAAAATACCCTCAATTAATCCTCATTTGAGTAACATTATTTACGAAGGACCATCTTTGGAATAAATCTCAATTATAGAGGACTACATAGGTAATTAAAACTCATTGAGGACTGATTTAGGAAAACACCTTATTACAAAGAACTATTTTGAGAACAAATCTTAATTATAGAGGACCATGTAGGTAATTAAAACTTATTGAGGACTAATTTGGGAAAACCCCTTATTACAAATGATTATTTTGGGAATTTACTCTTTTTTTTTATGAAAATTAATCTCCAAGGGGAGATGTATATGATAGAGTAAAATACTCTCTTTGACTTTGGAGGAGGAAATATACCTTCATCAACATCAAGAGGCAAAAGTGAAAAGAGTTAGTTGGAAGTGATGAGAAGTTTTGAAGAAAATTTGTTAAAATTTTCTTTTATTTATTGATTTTTATTAGAATTAAATAATAAATAATAACTTTTAATATTTTAAAAAATATTTCCATTATTTAAATACAAATAAATTGTATTTTCAAGTTTACTTTTTTAATTTATGCTCCTTCCATCTGAATTACACACTAAATTTCACACCTATCTAATATACCTATTGCCATTAGACTTGCGGCGGGGACTTGCAGTCTTCAATAGAAAACAAGGAAAAGAAGCACGCAATTTTTCGCTTTATTATTATCTTCAAAGGCTTCCTTCCCCACAAGGCCACAACCGACGCCTCCTTCCATACGGCGGAGCCGGGACCGAATTCTACGCCTGCGCACCAGATCCGCCGCCGCAGATCAAAGATGATGCACATGACCTTCTACTGGGGCACTAGGGTAACCCTCCTTTTCGACTTCTGGAAAACCGATTCCGCCACCAGCTACGCCCTCTCCTTGATCGCCTGCCTCGTCGCCGCCGTCTTCTACCAGTACATGGAGGACCGCCGCCAGCGCTTCAAGCTCGTCTCCTCCCTCGCCGCCAAGAAGGCCTCCGATCATCCGAGTCCGATCGACGCGCCGCTCCTCCACTCCGTCTCCGCGGCGAGTCGCCGATTGAATCCGGCGAGATTCGCCGGCGCTGTTCTGTTCGCGATCAGCTCCGCGATCGGGTACTTGCTGATGCTGGCGATCATGTCGTTCAACGGCGGCGTATTCATCGCCGTCGTATCTGGACTCGCCGTCGGGTACCTGATCTTCCGCGGAGGCGGCGAGGAGGACGTCCTGGTGGTGGATAATCCCTGCGCCTGTGCTTGATTCCCGATTTCAGCAATTATTTTCCTTTTTTACCAGAAAATCCGTGTTGTTTGAATTCCCGACGAACTATTGATCTGTATCATATATGTATATACAAATTTGTGTTAACGAAATGAATTTCCTGATCCATGAATAAATCCCCCCCATAGCTTATGAAATCTAGATGAAGAAACTGATAAAACCAGAGATTCTGTTTGGAGGCTGCGTTGAAGTTCATGAAGACGACGAGATCCATTCTAGTTTTCCTTTTCTCACTTCCCAACAAAAATTTTATTTTCTTTTTAAGGCTCTGTTCTGATAATAGAAAAAGAATTGGATCTTGGAAGAAATTTGTACCGTTTTATTTCTGGATCGAACGAGTCATAAAAAAATAGAGTATTTAAATTTTGAATTGGGTGATACTTCTTGTTCGAATCAACCAATTACAAAACGTGGCAAGTAAATGTGATTTTTTTTTTAATTTTGTTAACAATTTACAACGATTTTCTTAAAACTTTGGAAAAAAATAGGGACACCCTTGATATATATTTTATGTCTGTGTGTGTCTGTTACAAACTTGGTGTACACAAACGAGGTACTCCTAGCAAAACCTTAAAATTTTTTATGAGTTTTCAGTTAAGTTTATCAATTACAGAGTCTCTTGATTTTCTTAGTTTTATTCTTGTTTTCTTTACTGGAGTACAAGTGATATGAATGCAATGGATTAACTTTTCAAAGATATTTTTGTAAAATACCTAATAAAATCATTTTACTATTAGTATAAAACACAATTTTTACAAAATTGAGTAAAACTTAACAAACACAATGGGACAGGTTTTTTAAATGCAAAAAACACTTCATGGATAGCTTTTGCAAGCTGAATTTTACCCTAAACTGGGTTTAATCACAATTCATAAACAAAAGCACTACTACAGATATATCAGTAATGAAGATCCTTGCTATTCTTGATCATCAGTTTGTCACCATATTTCCATATCCATCTGCAGATGCCTTCTAAAGAGTGACGAAAAACTGGAAACCGTTGAATCGCCCAATAGATCAGAAAACCACAACTATCCCGTGATCCGGCTCCAAACAGAGGAGATTGGTTCAGATTTAAACATCCGTAAACCGAAGAGAAGAACTGAACGAAACATTCAAGAGTGGGAGCCGACCATTTATACTCTCTTTACAAAGGGAGAGCCGAAAGAAACAGGACGGGTAGCTTCACTCTTTAGGACTCCCCAATCACTTTGGCAGTGGAACTAGAGTTCACTCTTCACAAGTATAGACTATGGGTGATTCTCAACTCTTATTGGGATTAGTTCACTCTCTTGCTGTTGGCCCCCCCTTGACCTCAAGCTCTTGGGGAACCATCTGCGCAGGACTTCAGGCAATCTGGGTCAGCCCACATCATGCGTTAAGGCTATGTTTGGCACTACGAAAGTGGCAGGGAAAGGAAACTAACAAAAGCCGGGAAAGATGATTTTTTTTTTATGTTTGGTGGGGTGGG